ATAATAAAAATCACATTTAACGTTCAAATGCTAGTTACAATTGAAACAAAGTTTTCAGGAAAAAAAAAAAGTCTATATTTTTTTCTGTATTCTTATCAGTAACACTACAAACCAAGAAACTGCTGAAAAGGTTTATTTGTTTGGTTTTTTAAGCGTATTTCCTATGCAAGGAATAGACTTCTGGAAAGAATCTGCTCTGCCAGAATTGCTCAGAACTTTCACATACAGGCTCAAAAAGGTGGACAGAATAAAGAATAGCTTTCTTTTTAAAACAGGAAAAACGATTTGTAACCTCCTTCCACTCTAAAACAAAACAAAACCAAGAACTGTGTAGAGACTTCCATAACTAATGTAGTATGAAAAGCAACACTTATTGAGTATTTCTAAAGGACAGCATTCCTTTGAAAAGCTGTAACTAAAAATAATTCATTTGACAGTCCAGCTGAGATATGTTTATGTCCCTATCTACTTCTAAATCCTGTGCTGAACAAAACAGGGTGGGTTTTGCAGCTGCAGTCATGCACTTAGGACACTCAAATAACATCAAATGTAACTAAATGAGCAATTTACTTTATGTTTACAGCAAAAAAACTCTATGCATACTCAATAATGTATTCAGCATGTTACTTAATTCACTGCATCAGAATTTGCATATTCTTGCACTACTTTTTAATGCTTCAGTCCAGCAATTAGCATACTGAATCTTATTAAATATATCAAAGATGTCTTTTTAGTTAGCACAGCGAAAAGAAAAATATACACCTGCAAAACATTTTTTTAAACACTAATAATGTAAGAAACATTACGTGCCATAGGAACTGTTACCACCTTAGTACACTAGACACAACAGAACCCATTAAGAGAAATACCTACAGTGGCACCATCCAACAAATTTGATTTGCAGACATCCTGTACGTTTTTCACTGGAAGGGAAGATCCCTGTAAGGCTAACTGAAACCCACCGAGGATAAATTTGGGCTTTTTTTCTAATTGTCTTTCATATATCTCCTTGAAAATCTCTCCCCAGAAACCTCAGGATGGACCAGAAGCTGAAAGTCAGTGCCTCCATGGTATTATTAAAAAAAGGTTCAGCCTGGCATGTTTCAGAGCCTAGTAGTCACACTGAGTGAAACCCTGACCTTGCTGAAGTGACCAGATATTCTTCATTTAATCCTTAATTTATCACAGAAATAATAAGAGTCATAAAAGGAATGTGCTCAATTACTTTTCTAACACTGTCTCCCAGCGCAGCCAAGGAAAGTCAAGTTAGGTCAAAATCAGACTTCTAAATTTCACTCTTTAATTTCTGCACAGCACTGCATTTACACATGCAGGGGAGGGGAAGGTATTTTAGGCCATCACATTTGTGCTCCCTGGCTGCTAATTCACACATTATGGTACAATGGCACATCTTCCTGCCCTCTAACCTTTCTGCCAGGCTTAAGAAAGAAACCCACTGAACACCAGCCTTCTCCAGTTTGTTCTCCCAGACCAAGGGAAATGCTCCAAAGCCAAACTGAACCATGCGCCTCTGCAGTCATTCACATCTGCTCTGTCCACTACCTACCCTCACGGAGACACCTCCCATCCCATGGCCAGAGACGCAAGGTGTTCCGACGACACGCAAAACACGTCGTAGCTGCACAACTGCTGCACAACACACATTTCCCCTTCCTTCTGCATCGAAGTTACTTCTGCCTTTGATATGTGCCCATTTAAATTTTCATTTTTAAAATGCTGAGCCTTACGTAAATGAGATTCAGGACTGTAAATGCAATGCCGAAGTTAAAAAAAAGATCTATCACAAAATGCAGTATTTTCACCTCTTGCCACAGAACAAATTGAATATGCTTATTTTAATCCCTGTAGTTCTCCTTAGAAACTACAAAAAAATGAGGTTGCTAATTAAAATAATATGGCAGCCACTTCCTAGTTGCAAAGTCTAAAAACCAGCCTTGAAGCAACTGTAAAAACACAAGCGTGGCTTATGCTACAAAGCATTTCATTCTCAATTATTTTTCAATGGAATGAGTCATGCAAGTCCACCGCTGCAGTATGTGTGTCACTAATTCAGTCCTGGGGATTCTTCATTCTCATTTGTTCTGACATGCTACAGGTGTGCTATTACAGTCAAAAAAGGAGCTGTGTACCAAAAGGAGGTTTCAGTGAATCTCTTCAGCAATCATAAAAACATAGCAAAAATACATCACTAGCATCCACCTTCATGACCCACTTAAAAAGTTTCATGTTCTTGCCAAAAGCACAACACTGCTGCATTACCTTTTCCAGATTTTCACCCTAAAACTGAAATACAATGTACTGCTTTGCCCCCAGCATATTGCTAATTGTACCCCAAATGGAAAGCATTTAGCTTCTGTATTTTCACCTCCTGCGCTCTGTTCATTACAGCATTTCACACTTTATAACTGAATGCATACTAACATTAAAGGAGCAATGTATGTCAGGAAAACAATAAACTTGACTTGTCATCCTAGCCTTATCCCAGAGAAAAATAGGTAGAGGTATAAATCACCATTTCTGAGAACAAGACAATACAATACGCTCCTAGAACTGGTCAGTGAAACACACAGGCTCTTAAAACTTTAAGTCAATCACATCCCTTTGGGCACATTCTGTACAACAAACGTAGCTTTAATCAGACACATATACCAGGATATGCTTGCAGAATTAGCATTTTCCATTGTATAACATGGTACACAGAAGAGACAAGGTTGCTGTTGGCTTGCTTTTTAACATGAGAATGGGAAAACAAACCATTTATTACTTCTTATGCAAATTTAGCAATAAGCGGTGCTGTTCAACGTTTTCTTTCTCTTAAAGAATGTTTCAACAGACAGATTTAGAAGGAAAGGTGTTTTCTAAAGAAAAAATCTTGTTGTCCATTCAACTATATAGCTTTAACAACTAACAAATCCTGTATTACAGTTTAATTCCTACCAAAATCAGTAGGATTCTCCTATAAAATGATTACATTCAGTAAGCCCGGTGAAGAGTGTTGCATAACACACCATCTTGTAAGGATGAACTTTCACCTACACAGATGCTCAAAAAAATATGCCAGCGGGAAAATCTGATAGCAGCCACAGCCTCATCACAGGAAGCTAGATGGACTAAAGCCATTTCTCTTCTCCCTTCAGTACGACACATTTTTGACCCCACCATACCAGTTTTGTAGTGCCTTACAGAGAAATGAATTGGCAGTCTCTATTCTGGTCATTCACACATTTTCTGCTATCAGGTAGATTATTTACAGAAACACAACTCTCTATTAATGACAAGCTTGACCCAGCACATTTTAAGCACCCAAATAAAAAAAAAAATTTCAAGCAAAACATTTTCCCTTCATTTGAGAGTCTCTCTCATGCCAATCACTGTTAGGTGAAAAGATGCACAAACAGCACAGCTCAGTCCACACAGCAACGATGCAGTGACCCAGAAAGAGAATCTAATGGCCAACTGAGTAAACAAAGCAAAACTAGCCAAAACCAAAGGGCAGCATGCACATCAGCATCTTCTCCACTTAACTGGCACATACTTAAACCTAGTCTCGTATTTCCATGTTCTGCAACAAGACTTCACATTCCCATAAGCACCACTTCCTCCATTGTTTCAAAGACACATATTATGCAAAAGGAGAAAAATAGGTGCCCAGGTTCACGGAAAAGTTAAGGAGGAAAATATGGAGAAATAAAAAGTGATCATTGTATCACACATTTAAAAATAAAACACAATTTGCAATTGAAAATTATACTGACAACTACAGATGGCTCAAAACAAAATGCTGGATTCAAACATCATTCTTCCCTTTGGGAAAAGGTGGCTGTAATTTTTTGAATGAACCTGATACAAATATATACATGAATCTGTCTCTCGTCTATAAATATAGAAGTCTATATAATTTACAATACACCCATGCACCTGCATATAGACAAAGTCTGTGGAAGCAATTATTTAAGACTAAATATTTATCCCCTGCTCCCTTTTTTCCTTGAAAAGAGGATTGTTATTAATGTTAACACAAGAACCAAAACCCCCCACCTCTAAATCTTTGGTGCGGCTTATGTCAAAAGGGCAACGTATATTAGAGTCCAACGAGTAAGTAGCACAAAAGACAAGAAAAACCACATTGTATCTTTGGTTTTAATTTCAGTACATACAATGTCATTCCATCCACTAACCTAAGAGCAAAGCTTTGATTTGGACAGATACTTTTCAAAGAGCACATCCAAACACAGCCTAACTAAAAAGCAGAAACAAACAAAGCTCAAGACACTCTGTATGCTACTGGGCATCATCTGCGCTTTCCATGAAGCATCATGCAGAGAAAGAGATAGGTGCCAGGAAGATGGTAAAGCACAGCTGAAATACCAGCTTTTACCAACAGATTTATCCCTTTCAGAAAAAATAAATGGAAAAGTTTTTGTATCGTTGTAGTCAGGACAATGCCTTGCACTCTGAAGTTACAGTATTTTACTGCAGGGCATCTTAACATTTTTTCTGAGAAGTCCCACTTGCCCCTTTTTCTAACAAAAAAGTTTTCCTAGAGACGACAGCTATCCCCTGCCATGGGCCATTCCAGTTTGCAGCTTCTGAAAAACTGTCAGACTTCAACTGAGCTCCTCTGCCACTCCCCTGCCTTTCCATTAGTCTTCCACGCCAGACTTTTAACACTGTAAAAGCAGTCAATCATCACAACTTTTAACTCCCTTAACACACATTTATTGAATTTGCCCGGAAACGGGGAGGTGCTGGGGAATGAAGGAGAAAATAGACCAAACCAAAACCACACCCATTTCCAGAGAACTTCTCCATCATCAGCCTCATGCGCTTGAACTTACTAGAAAGACTCCAACAGATCCCAATCACATTTGGGTTAGTCCTGAGCCTCCTTCATACCGCCCTGTCAAATTTCAAGCAGAAATACTACACGAAGAAGATTGCTATCGTTTCCTTTAAAGTGTAACACACATTTTGCTTACCTCGCTGTTGTGGCCCCTCAAATTGAAGTTGATTCTCTGAGGGGTGTTCCGGTCCCTCCTGCAATGGCTGGAAGTAAAAGTGACGCCTACAACTCCTCTGCCATTGCCTGTTGCCAACCAGCCTTCCTCATAGTACCGCCTCCTGCACACCGGTTTCTCCTTCTCACTTTTGGGGACTCTCCCTTTCCAGGAGAGGCAGAGGATGTTGGAATCGCTGCAAAGAACAGGCCCATGTTCCACTGCTGCATACATGCTTTTTAAATATTTTATTTTTTGACATAAGAAAGTAATATGTCTAGTGCACAAAATTTAAATCAATTTTTTTTTTTATTGATAAGACTGACCTGGGATAGATCATTGAAAGGGAGGAGGATGGGGTCAGTGTTTATAAATATCCACCAAATGCATAGTGAAAAATTCCTCTATAAAAGATGATGGCAGTTGCCTAAGAAAAAGTAACACTTAAAAAAAAATTCAGGTTCATTTTTGTTTCTGAGTCTGTAGAGTGAGGGTGCACTTATCCTTTGGAGAAACAGCTACTTCATAAGAGGCGCTCAAGAAATGGTTAAGTCATCTTTTTGCTCAACTTGATATAATCTTTATACAGCCTGAGATTCCAGTTTAGCGTAATGCAATTCCAGAGACAAAGAGTTGCAAATGTGTAGGTTTCAAGTAACTTAAGGCTTTTAAGATTTCCTCCAGTCAGATTTTCTTCAAAAGTTCAGTTGCAGAAATTTAAACACACGCACATACATATATATGTATATATGACATTCATCTTTTCCAAGCTGCCCTCTGGCATATCTTTTCCATCTGATGTATTTCTGCTGCTAAAGCTGAAAGAGATTGCATAAAGGGAAAAAAAGGCACACAAACCGTGCGAAACAACAGACCCGAACTTGTGCAGGCACTGGTGTGCCAGGCCAGCTGGGAAATC